CGCACCGCCGCTTGCCAGGCCAAGGCGTCGCCCACACCGGCGGCGGCCGACAACGACGACGGGTTCACGACGGTGAGGCGGTCCGCCAACGCCTACCGCCCTCCGGGTGCTCGTCGCGCCTAGAATGCGTGCGTCGCGCCCTGCAGCCCCTCGTCGTTGTGACATCCCCCCCTGCTTCCCATCCATGGTCACGGCATCGTGGCCGCGCAAACAAAATTACCGCCTAGACAGTGCGGCGGCTGTTGTTGTTGTTGTTGTCTATCCCTGTTTCCCCCTCCCGTTTCCCTCGATTACTTACTCGCCACGTCGAACCGCCAAGCCCTCTGAGGCGGAGGCGGCAGCAGCGGTGGTAGTCATGCAAGCCATGTAAATGCCCCCTAGCTCGTGCCTGGTTGCTGTTCCTTGCGGCCTGGTGGTACAGGCAGGCCGGTACCGCCGGTGCCTGCGTCGATGCTGGCGTGGGCAAGCAAAGCTAAGTTAGCACGTTCGTTTGGGGCGACGTGCTCGGGAGGGCGCTGGCCCAGCCAGGCAGAGAGAGAAGGTTTTTGTGGCTGAAAGAGGTCCGAGCGGAATTTTGAGCTTGGCTTGGCCTGCTTAGCCTGCCTTGCCTGCCTGCATGTGTAGCCTGCTTGCTGGTCAGCCGTCGAGCTGCAGCCCCTCGGCGCCAGCTGGCTGGGCGGGTTGGCCCGCCACCGGCTGGCCTCGGTCAGGCGCTGGCAGGCGCTGGCTGGGCCCTCCGAATCCAACACGCCTCACCTCCTCCACCTTTGGCCTTTGCTCGCCACCTCGACCCTCTCTTCTTCCATCCTTTCCGACCACGTCGTCGTCGTCGTCACAGATTGCGTCAAGGAGCCAGCTCACAACCCCCCCTTTGGCGAATGGCAGCGCCACCATGACGACCGCGCTCCCACACCAGCACACGCTACGTCCTGGCCAGGATCCCGCATCACCGCACTGCGACCTCTACGTCCACCCGGCCTCGGCAGACAACCATGGCCTGCTCCAGCTCGCAAGCCTCCACCGCGCCGCAGAAGTAGCCCGCTTCCAATGGAGGCGGCAGCATCCTCACCTCGATCCCGCAAATCCACCACCACCACCTACCGCACAGTCCACTGACGCAGCCACCGCTACCAACGTCGAAACACCCAACCACACCGGCGCATCTCCTAGCCGCACCGGCACCGGCAGGTCGCTCGCCAGCGCACACCGAAGCGACAGGCGCGTCTACAACAACACCGTCATCGCCCTCAACGCCGCACAGTCGACCTTTTTCCGACAGCAGCAGCGACAGGCGCGTGGCACCGCAAGCGGAAGCGGAGGCGGAGGCGGAGGCGGAGGTGAAGGCGGCGATCCCTCCATCGACCTCGCCACCAGGATCCACGAGTTTGCCACCCTGCTCGACAGCGATTCCGGATCCGGCTCCGAATCCGAGACCGATCGAGCCGGCATCGCAGCCACTCCCGGCCGTCGTCCCGATCGAGGCACACCACGGTCAACCACCGGCGGCATCGACCGCGGAATGGGCACGACAGGTGACAGGCGCGGAATGGCCGAGTCCCGCTCCGCCTCTCCAGATGTGCAGCGCCTCTGGAGGGAGCTGAGAGAACGAGAGAGGCAGCTCCGAGAACAGCACCGGCAGCTGTGGGGCGAGCAGAGGCACACCCGCCAGCAGCCATTCTCCCCGCTCCAGGCTGATGCCGAGACCGAGTGGCAGTGCTGGGACCGGCTGGTCAAGGACCTCGCACCCTGCTCTGAGCTGCGCGAGCTCAGCGACCAAGACACCGCGAGCACCGCCTTCCGCCCCTATCACCTGCGCAACACCACTCTCTCCGGCCTCGCCATCTCGTTTCTCAGCCATCAGGCGCAGAACGAGACCCAATCCGGCCGCTCCATCTCGCTGCCGCACCCCATCTGGTCGAGGAGGTACAAGGGCCCGGCTGGCGTGTGGCTGCGCAACGAGCTGACGAGGCGCAGCCAGGCACCCCTCAGCGAGCGCCTTCCCGCATCCGGAGCCGGTGGTGGGGCCATATCGTTTCCCTCGCTCGACCCCGAGCAGCGTCCTGGCAATGCGGCAGCTGGCACTGCGTCGAGCAGCAACGTGTCCGTCTCCGCACCCGCTGCAGCTGTCCAGGCTGCCACCCCGCAGGACTGGTCGTCGTTCCTGCTACCCAGCAGCGCCACCCTCCAGTCCCTTTCCACCGCGAGCGCCATGCTGGCGGCAAGGGTCACCACGACCAACCCCACGACTGCCGACACGCCCGACGAAGACATGCAGGACGCCCAGGCGGCACTGACCCGTACCGCGCAGAGCGTCGAGGCGCACCTTCAGGTCTCGAGGATGGCGCAGGCCGTCCGCTCGCGAGGCTTGGAGCCTTCGGCCACCGCCGCGACCACGTACGGATCGCGCAATCGTACCGCAGCCTCTGCAGCGGGCTCGGCCACGCGATCCGGCCCCAGCCGTCCGCGATCAACGCGCGACGCCCTCGCTTTCCTCAACCGGCTGAGGGCGCAGGACGGCCTCCTGCCGGGGAGCGCAGCCAGCAACACCAACAGCGGCGGCGGCTCTGGCGGCCGGTCCACCAGTAACGACCGTTCAAGCCAGAGTACAGGCCTCGACACGCCGACGCCCTTCACCTTTGCACGTCCGCAGCCGGCCAGCGTCGCTACGACACTGGCCCCTGCCCCCTTTGACCCGGATGGCAGCAACATGGACGCCTGGCCAGATGCACCGCGGCCCTACCCCTCATCGTCGTCGACTTCGTTTGCCTCGCCCTACTCTGCCGCCAATCTGGCCGCGACGGGCGGTCTTCTGGATCCGGACGGCGAGTGCTACAGCGAGGCCGCGCCGCGCTTGCCGTCGGGCAGCATCGCGCTGCGGCGCGAGGCCGATGCGAGGCGAGCACAGAACCGATCGGCGCGTGTCATGGCCGACGACGGGCCTCCGCCTAGGCTTGGAATGGACGGAGCGAGGTCTGGCGACGAAGGACCGACAGCAGCAGAAGGCGGCGCTCCGAGTATCGACGGGTGGTACCTCGTCCCCTCTGCCACTTCGGCCATCACCGGCAACAGCGGGCGCGGGACAGGGTCAGCAGCGCTCGACGCATGGGTCCCGGGTGAACCCCATCCATTCTACACGGTCACGGAGCCGGTCGGGCCCGCTCCTCCCGCCTTCGCTGTCACCGATGAGTCGACTGGCAGAGACGCCCCCACGACGGCAGCAACAAACGCGTTCCACGTCTCCGGACCGCTGCCTACAGCGACTGCACCGGCGGTGGCAGCGCAGCGGGGCGAGGGGGGCGGCGACGAGGCGAATCCGACGACCGAAGTGGGCGAGATGATGATGCTCGACAATCCCATCCGCCGCACCTCGCCGCTCCCGCTGGCCAACCACACGAGGAGCTCATCATCATCGACCTGGACTCCGGCTCTCGCATCCGAGCCTGCCGCGGCGGCAGCAGGCAACGATGCCACCTCGGGGCTGCGACGACGCAACGAAGTCATCCTCAACCAGGTCCGGAACGCCTCGTTCTGGTCGGGCAGCCAGGCAGAGAGCGACTTTCTCGCCCAGACGCAGACGCAGACGCAACAGCCCGTCGCCAGCACGTCGTCTTCTTCTTCTTCCCCTGCTCCTGCGTCTGCGCTCCAGCGCATCGAAGCAGGCGAGCAGCGCGATGAGGGATGGAGAGCCTGCAGGTGACCCGATCATGGTTCGATCGCCATCTCTGCCACTCAACACGCACACACGCGCGTCATCGAACGTCGGCGCACACTCGACGCTCACCACGTCCAGAAGATATCGGCATCCACCCACTTGCGGGGACCAGCAGCTGTCTCGATCTCGATCTCGTTCTCGTTCTCATTCTCGTCCCCGTCCCCGTCCTCGCCCGCCATACATTCCGCATCCGACTAAGCATACATCAGGGCTATCATCATTTCCCCTCCCTCCGCGTCTGCGTCTGCGTCTGCGTCAACAACAGCATCACACCAACAACGAAGACAGCGACAGCGGCGGGGAGAGACGGGCGGGCAGACGGCGAGGCTATCTGAACTCGGTATCCAGGCTCTCGGCACCCAGTCCATCGTCGTCTTCGGCATCGCTACCCGAATCATACCCTTGACCCAGAACCAGATCGGCCTCTCTGAGAATCTCGCTAATCGTCCGCTGATGATGTCCCTTTGCCGCCGCACCACCCGCCGCCGTCGTCATCGGTGGTGGTGGTGGTGGTGGTGGGTCCTCTTTGGCCTTTGTCGTCGTCTTGGCCATCGTCGTAGTCTTGGATGGAGGTGAAGTCGACGAAGGGAACACCTGCTGCTGCTGTTGGGACTTTTTGCCAAACGTCTTGGAAAAGGGTAGCATCGATTTCCGCGGCGTCGGGGAGAGCGGAGAGGGCGATATGGGGGCCGTTGTGGTCGGTGGGACCGCAGGGAGGGCGGGGAGGGGTGGCGGCGGCGCGGCGTTGGGTCGAGATACGTCAATGGCCCGTCGTGCTGAACGCGTCGGACTGGGCGAGCGCAACTTGGGCGGGCGCGACTTGGTCTTGCTCGCCGTCGCCGCCGCCGCCGTCGTCGTGCTGCCAGCAGCAGCCGCAACCGTCGCCGCAGCCGCAGCCGCAGCCGAAGCGGCAACGGCAACGGCGGACGATGCCGATGCGTCTACGGCATCGCTCTTGCTGTCCGATGTTGTGGCGTTGGGGGAGATGGGCTGCAGAGGAGCAGTAGCGGGAGCAGCAGCAGGAGCAGTAGCGGGAGCGGAAGCGTCGTCGTCCGTCTTAGAAGACGCGACAACCGCGTCGCCATCGACATCCGCGGCGGCGGCCGTCTTCTGGCTGCCATCAGCTTCGGCATCGGCCGCAACGGCCGGAGCGGGCTCGACCGCACCCTCCCCGGACTCGACAGCGGCAGCCGCCCCGTCGGAAGCCGCATCGCCAACGGACGGCTCAGCTCCGACCTTCGACGGCGCGACGGTCTCGACCTCTGCCGACGCCTCGTCGGCGGTTGCTTTTGGGGTTGTCTTCGTCTCGCCGGCGGTTCCTTGGCCTGTAGCGTCCTCCGTTGGCGCGGAGGGGTCGGCCGTCGCTGCTTCTGCGGCCTCAGCATCGACTGCTGCCGGCTCTTGCTCCTCCTCGACGGATGCAGCTTCTGCCGGCACTTGAGCGTCAGTGCCCTGTGGCGGTTCCTTTGCCCCTTCTGCAAGATCAGCGTCAGCCGCCGATACAGGTTCGTCTTCCTGTGCTTGCGCTGCGGCGACAGTGTCCTTGTTCCTGCCAACCTCTTGCTCGACCTCGGTGACAGCTTCAGTCGCAGTCGGGGCCGGCGCATCTCCAGCTGTATCCGCTGGCTCATCACCCTTGCCCGTCGCGGCAACCTCCTTGTCAGCGTCCGCTTCCGCGACAGCTGCTTCTTCGTCCGCTGCGTTGGCCGGCGACGCTTCGACCAAGGTCTTTGGTTCCGCACCGACTGCTTCTGCTGGGTCGTCAGGCTTGATTACCTGGCTGCCCGTCGTCCCTTCTGCAGCTTCGCCTGCCACGCCCGCCTTCAACTCGGTGATCTCGAGCGCCTCGGCGAGCGAAGCTTTCGCTGGGGCGGCCGCATCCGTCTCCGTCTCTGCCTCGTCTTCGGCGATGGCCTCCGGCAGCGTACCTGCTGCTGCTGCCGTCGGTAGGGTCGGTCCGGTGCCGACACCGTATCCCTTCTCCCGCGCCCTTTGAGCCACTTCGCGGGCGGCAACCTCGTCCCTGACCTTGTCAGCCTTGGTCGAGGACCTCGTGAGTCGGCTGCCGCCCGACTGAAGGCCATCGGGGATCGCGCCGGCCTCGAGGAACGCCTCGACCTCGTCTTCTGCCAGGTCGGCGTCCTTGAGGCCGAGAGAGGCAAAGAGGTGGTCGAGGTCCTCGTTCGAGACAATGTCCTTGATCTTGCTCTGCTCGAGCGCCTCGTCGAGGTTCTTGCCCTGCGAAACCGCTTCGCGAAGGAGCGCGCCAGACGTCTTGCGGTTGGTGACCAGCGCCGAGGCCTCGGCCGCGAGCGCCTTGCCGGAACGCTGCGAGATCGAGTAGCGCGCAACGGGCGGCGAGCGCGGACTGGTGCCGGGCGCCCTGGTCGAGCCCTCACCCGCCAATGCTGCGCCAGCGGCAGAGGAGGATCCGGTGGCCTTGCCCATCCTGGCCAGGCGCAGGGGCTTGACAGCCGCCTCGGGCGAAGGGGTGAAGGCCTTCTTGTGAGTCTGTGCCGATTTGATGCCCTCGGGCGTGCCGATGCTGGCGAGGAGCGCGTCGGCGTCGGCCTCTGTCAGGCTGTCGTCGGCCAGGCCGAGCGAGGCGATGAACTCGTCGGCGGTCGGCTCGGCCCGCTTGCCGGATCCCTCGGGGGCGAAGTGGATGGTCGGATACAGGCTCGGATCCTTGGCGCTGGTGGCCTGCTGCGCCGCGTGTATTGGCGGCTCGACCGACGCAGAGGCTGCCGAGGTTGCGCTGACCGGGGGAGCAGCTTCTGTTTGCTGCTGCTGCTGCGCTGGCACGCTGCTGACCGGATCGATGCCGAGGAACATTTCGAGCTCGCCAAACTCGACGGCCTCCTCAAACTCTTCATAGGTGCCGCGCCACTCATTGTTGACCAGGATGCCGGGCAGCTGCGGGTCCTTTGTCTTGCGGCGCCATCGCGTCTTGGCGTCCTCGTCCGAGGCGAGGTCGTGGTAGACGTAGGGGATCTTTTTGATGGCGAACACGCCCGTGAACCGCTCGTGGCGCGACCGCACCTTGTGGTTGGACAGGATCGAGGTGCTGAACAGCTCGACGGCCGGCGTCGAGCCCGGCGAGGCGGCCATGGCGGCGCGGTAGAGCTGATAGCGCGGTGCGAGAGCGCGCCTCGAAGGAGACGTCAAGTCGAGGGTGGAGCGCAGGGCGAGGAGGGGCTAGTATGAGGGCCAGGAGGGGACGGGACGGGCCAGCGGGCAGGCCACGGCTCGGGACGGGGCCGTGCGCAGCGCCCACCATGCTCCACGTCCAGGCCGAGGCCCTTTGTTGCATCCCTCTGACGGCCGATAGGGGCGAAGCTTCCAGAGCAGGCCAGGCGCGGGTTGCGGGCGCGGGCCGTCGTCCGATCAAGCCAAAGCGCTCCGAGCCGGGGCGCGGGTCTGGCCGGCTGAAAGCAGGCGCTTGCGGTGGGCGGGCGGAATTCCCGCACCGACCTGGCCGGGCCAGGCGTGTTTGCTTGCCCGGATCCGCTTGGCGCTGGAATTTGAATTCGACCTTGGGGGCTGGGCCCTCGTCGACGGGTTTGAAGTCGCTGGCTGGGCGATTTGAAATCCGTGGCCTCATTTTTCTCTCTTCAGGCCAAGCCAGCCTCCGGGTCGCGGCGGGCGCCGACAAATTCGTCTTCTCGAGGCTGGCCAGGCCGGGCCTTCGAGGGCGGATCGTCCGCTTGGCCAGCTGGCTGGCTGGCTGGGCCAGGCGCTAGGGCGGCTGACGGAAGGGGTGGCAGGGGCGAGAGGGGCCCATCGCCCGTGCTCCAGTCATCGATCGCCTTCTCGCCCATCCTTCTTCCTGTCTCGCCGCCTCCACCCTGGACCATCCACTACATCATCATCACCATCCGCCCGCCCATCCATCTGTCTTGTCCGCTTCGACGTCTTCGCCAGCTCGACTGATCCGTCGCCGTCGCCACCACCATCCGCCGTTGCCGTTTTCAGCACCCGCTTTCACCCACACATCAGTACCGACCGCGATGCTGGCCAACAACACCCTTCGTGTCGCCCGGACGGGTCTCCGCTCCGCCCCGCAGGTCCTCGGCCGCCGCACCATGGTGACCAAGGAGGAGCGATGGACCCACGAGACCGCGCGAAGCGCCGGCTCCTTCATCGAGGGCCCCAACAAGCTCCAGCTCTCCCAGGTCGTCCCTAACATCGAGGCCAGCTGGAAGAACCTTTCCAAGGAGGAGCAGTACGGCGTTTTCAGGCAGCTCGAGGAGCTCCAGCGAAAGGACTGGAAGGAGCTCAGCGTCGACGAGAAGAAGGCTGGTAAGTGCTGCCGAATGGATCGCTACCGATGCGCCGGCCTTGGAATGCGGCTGCACTGGGCCAGGCAAGGCCAGGCAAGGCAAAGCGTTTCGCGCCTGCCGGCCACCTCCTGCCGGCCCTTGACTGGCAGCTCGTCATCTCGGGGGTTCTCAATCGGATCATCGGCAGCAGAGGAGGGTGCTGCACTTCAGCTGCAGTCGCACAGAACCCTGATCACTCCAGAGAAGCGATCGCTGACGCGGGGCTTTCTTTCCTCCGGACCTTCTCCTTCATCTATCACTCGACATCATCAGCCTACTTCGTTTCCTTTGGACCCCACGGACCCCGCAAGCCCATCACCCAGCCCGGCCAGGGCGCCAAGACCCTTGGTGGTGTCATCGGCCTCATTGGCGCGACTGTCGGCCTCTTCTACTGGCTCCGAACCCTCGGTGAGTCTCTTGCGGTATCGCTCAGCGCTGCTCTCACCGGCCCGTGTCGACATCCGGGAACCAACCTGCGATCATGGCGGATTCAGCATCGACTCATCGCAGCAGCAATGCGTCCCCAACTTGCTGCTGACCACACCTGCATTCTTGTCGGCCTGCCGTTCTTGTTTATTCCCTCAACAGCCGCTGCCCCGCCCAGGACCATGACCAAGGAGTGGCAGGAGGCCACCAACGAGAAGGCCATCGAGGAGAAGCTCAACCCCATCACCGGTGAGTTGATCGTCGCGCGTTCAGCGCGGCTTTCCCTCGTCATCTGCCCCTTCGGTTTTGCTCATCAGCCGTCGATTTTTCGGTCTCCTTTGCTCCGCGTGCGCAGGTATCACGAGCGAAAACTACAAGGGACCTGGCTTCGTCCAATCAGCGTAGACTGGACTGGCCAGCCTCGACCCGTTGCTCACCGCCTGTCCCTCGTTTCCTGCACTCGCCAATCGCCGCCGGCCGCTGCTCGAGGCGCGAGAGGCGGGGCGACGTCGTTCGTCGGCCCGGCTTCGTTGGGCAGCGACGTCGCTTGTCTGCTCGCGTCCGCTGTCGGCGCCGGCGCCATCGCCATGACGGCCGCTGGCGTCATCTCGTTGAAAAATACAAGCCTTGAACATCCGAATCATGGAGCGACGCTGCCGACGCTCTGTGGACGACCGACTCGGACGCGGCGATGGCGGACATGGAGGAGATGCGCCAACCGAGCTTCTTTCTGCTAGCGAGCACCGCATCGGATTACAGGAAGCGGACGCGACGGTACGGGGCAAGGGACGCCGCTCTCCCTCTACGCTTGTTCTATCTCTTGTCCGCGCCACGCAGGCTCTGGTGTCTCCTAGAGCTTGGCGCCCTGGCGGTCGGGAAGGAGTTCGAGCCCAGTGACCTTGGACAGCTGGCGGAGGGCGTCGGTGGAGTCCTTTGAGTTGACGCCTATCGAGCGGGGCGGGCAGAGGAGCCAGGATCCAAGAGCAAAAGACGGGTAAGCATCCATGCCGGTCGGTATCGCACGCGCAGAGCGAGCACTCACGGATGGTAAAGATGCCGAGATCCTTTGCCGCCTTGAGGTTGTGGCCGATGTCGTCGAGGAAGACGGTCTGGCTCGGCTCGACCTTTAAGAGATCGAGGGCGTACCGGTAGAAGTTGGGGTCGGGTTTGCTGTCATGTGCGCGCAGGTGGGGGATGGGAATGGCCGTCGCGTGCACGGTCAGTACCCCGGCTGTTTTGGAGTTGTGGGACAGCCCGGCGGTCGCAGACTTACCGCATGCCGACTTTTGCGCTCTCGATGTACTCGTCAAAGAGGTTCTTGACGCCGTCCTGCTTGGCGCCGAGGCCGAGGTGGTCGAGCTCCTCTTCGAGCGACGGTGCCGGGCCCGATGCCCCACGCTCACCTGCCGGGGTCGAGGGCGCGGTGGGTGGCGCAAAGTTGTTGGTCAGTGCGGCGATCTTGTACCGCCCCGTCGCTGCTCGAGGTCAGAGCGGTGCAGGGGAGAAGGGAGGTCTGGATGTCAGCGCGTGGTTCGAGGCAAAGGCGAGAGGCGTGGAAGCTGACGCACCGCGAAGCTTCTGGATGGCGTGCGACATCTTGGGGTCGACCTGGAGCGAGCGTCGCATCATCTGGCCAAAGAGCTGGTCGAAGCGCGGCCGCAGGGAAAGAGATGGGAGGGGATGGTGAGTACGTCGATTCACTTTACGGACTGCGGGCGCGAGGGCTGTCGGGTGAAGACTCACGTCTCTTCCATCGATCTTGAGCTCCTTTGGTAGCGCCGGGACATCTGACCAGCGTCACAAGGGCAGACGGCGCTCATCCAGGTGGTCAGCACATCGGCCTTGCTCGCAAGGGTGCTGCACTGACGGACTCACCCATTCCCCTTGCCTTGCAGAATGCGGTATAGTGGCGGTTGTTGGCCTCGACGTTGCTGAGCTCGTGGCCGAACTGGCGGTAGAAGGAGTACAGGTCGAGCTCGTTCCTCTCGAAACGCTGGTGCACGCAGCACGGGGTCGAGGGTCGAAGCATGGTCAGTCGGTGAGTCGACCCCGGTCGAGGGCCTGAACCCGCAGCCAAACTCACCTGGAAAGCACCGCCGTGGCCCTGCGCAGTGATGGCCACGTTGAGGTACTGAAAGGGCAGACCGTGGTCCTTTTCGTATCTGGCGGCAGGCATGCGTCCGAGGCAGAAGATGAACGAAAGGCGGTGAGTCTTGCTGGCGATCGAAGGGAAGCATGCGGCGCGCACGCCCTCGCTCTGGACCTACGCGTTGATGGCAAAGAGCGGGCTGCCGACGACGACGCCGCCAATGTCAAAGATGATGGCCTTGATGTTGGGGTTCGGGCTCATCATTGCGGCAGTGACTGGGGGAGGGCGGTATGGAAGGGTCGGGAAGCGGTTACGAGGGATGGCTGGGCGGATGGCGAGGGAAGCATGTCGGGGATGGGTCGGCGGCGAGGGGATAGACAGCAGGTTAGCGTCGGCTCGTTTGGCCGGCAACGTCGGCAATCAAGCCTTCCCGGCGCGGCACCACGCCCGAGCATCGCGCCCATCCTCGGGACGCGGGCCAACACACACGTACGCCGCGAGGGCCTGCCACGCTCGACGTTGGACGCAAGCTCTGCCTGCCGGAATCGTGGCCCTCGACGCCACCTTTGGCACTCCCTCCATATGGACGAAAGCTTTGTCGACGACCTCGTTGCGAGAGGACAGCACCCTAGCACGGTCTGTCGCCTTCGTGATAGCCGCCGTCGCCACAACTCTGCGCCAAGTCGACTTCTGCCCGGCCAGCGCCATCCTTGCGGGTCAGTCGGAGCCAGGCCGAGTGTGTGGAGGCAAGGCGGTGAATTTCCTCTGCCGCCCGCCGCGCTTCGCCCTGGCCACCCCCCTTTCAGTCGAGCTCAGCAGCGTCTTCGCTTTCGATCTCGCCACCACCTTCATCCTTCGTCCTCGGTCCACGCCATTGTGTCTCCTGTCTCTCAGAACATGGCGAGACAGCCTGAGGGATCGCCACCAACCTCGCGCGCCACTGACAACCCCGCACCGCCATCGTTAGCACTCGAAGTGGCACCCAACCCCACCCCCCTCGACAAGGGCAAGCGACCCCTCCGCCCCGACCTAGACCATGACGGCGGCCCTCGATCCCCCCAGCGGCCTGCCCTAACCATGTTAGAAGCCAAAGCAGCCGGCAGTGATGAGGATCACGCCGACGACGACAACGACGACGACGACGACGGGCCTACCTGCCTCATCTGCCTCGGCCCCATCGAGGACCTCACTGTGCTGCCCCTCTGCCAGCACTCGTGCTTCTGCTTCGAGTGCATCGTCCGCTGGGCAGAGCTCAAACGCAAGTGTCCGCTCTGCCAACGCAGCGTCGGACCCTACGTCGTACACAGCATACGCGCAGACGACGACTGCCTGCGCTACCACCTCCGCCCTCCCATCGACGCCGCCACCGACGGCGCCTTCGCCTCGTCCTCGTCCTCGTCCACGTCCTCGCCCTACTCCTCCTCGACCCTCGCCGCTCAGCAACGGCAGAGGCAGCAGGAGAACGAGTCGATCCGACGTCAACTTGCCCACCGCGTCGGCGCACGTCGGCCTGCGCGGCGGCCTTCGACCGAGGCGCAGCGCGACGCCGACCTCGCCCTCGCCCGCCGCAAGCACGTCTACCGCACCGGCTCCTACGTCCTCCACGTCGGCTCCAACCGCTACACGGGCTTCCACGCGCCGCCCACGCCGAGCCGGATCGCCACCTCGGCGACGCTGCAGCAGCGCCTCGCCGCCTTTGTCCGCCGCGACCTCTACGCATGGCCCAACCTCGACGTCGAGTTCCTCACCACCTACACCCTCAGCATCATGAAGTCGCTCGACATCCAGAGCAACGAGGCCATCAACCTCCTCTCGGACTTCCTCGGTCCCGACGGCGCACCCCACTTTGCACACGAGGTCGCCACCTTTCTTCGCAGCGGGAGGGATCTAAAGGCCTATGACGCTTGTCGCTGGGTCCGGTATCCAATGGCGCCTGCAGAGGCTGCTCCAGCCGCCCCCTCCGCCGCTGCTGCTGCTGCTGCTGCTGCTGCTTCGGCGTCGTCCTCATCTTCATCGGCCGTCGTAGCCGGGAGCCGCGGCGTCCAAAAGGCAGGGAGACCACGCAAGAAGAGGCGCTCCGACACCGGCGCACTCGAGCCAAACGACGATCCACCAGATCCACAGCCGGTGCCCCGACCAGGTCAGCCTCCCGCCTCCCCTCCCCATCAGCCACCGGTCTCGGCGCCGCCACCCTGCTCCTCCCCTCCATCCCCGTCGTCTTCGGCAGCATCCCCAACTCCACCGCTGCGAGAGGACGTGATACGACGACGGGCCGGCCTCCTCGCGCGCCTACAACAGGAAAAGCAGCGCCTCGCTCTTCCCCGCGCACCCTCTCCGGCCTCTCCCGCCGACGAAGCACAGACGCAAGCGACAGCGAAGGGCATCGAGGCCAGTCCAGCGGACTCGCGAGCCGACCTCCTCAACCGTTTGCGCGAGGCTCGTTTGAAAGCGGTGTTGCTAAGGCAGAAACAGCCCCCTCTGTCCTCGTCGTCGTCGTCATTGTCGTCGTGACGACGCACGAGGCAGGGAAGGGTTCGTTTGTCTCGCCTGGTTCTGATGATGTGCTGCGGTACATTGTTACAATCAGTCGTGGATGGGGATGGCGCGGACCTGGGGCGGTCCGGTGCAGCGCTCAGGCAAAGTGGTCCCAGTCGGCCTCGACGAACCTGTCGGGTCGATGGCGAGCAGAGGATGCAGGGCAAAGGGTCAGTCTTGGAACCGGGCCAACTCGACGAGGAGCCGCAACCGCCGACGCCGCCGCCACCGATAGCGACCGCGCGACGCCACTGACACGCACCTGAGCATATACTCGTCGATCGTCCCACCCTCGTCTTCGTCGTCGTCCCCTTCGTCCTCGCCATCGTCGGCCTCGTCACCATCGGCAGGAGTCTCGGACAGCTGCCTCGAATCGGTCGCAGCGGCAGCTCCTGTTTCGGCCGCCTTCGCCGAAATTCGCTTGCCCTCGTCGCCAAAGTCGAGCTGGTCCATGCCCATTTCCTCGCGCGCCTGGTTGGCGGCGATGCGGTCCTCCTCGTCCTCGACCTCGGCCAGGGCCCTCTCGTCGTCGATGATGCCACTGCCACCGCCAGCACCACCGGCGCCGTTGCCGTCGCCCTGCAGCTGCACCTTGACGCCCTCGATGGCGCCGTCGTCGTCGAGCATGTCCCTCCACCCGATCCTCTCGCGCCCACCACCGCCAGCGCCAGCGCCCGCACCGCCGCTGCCGCGGGTGCCGCCGAGCTGGTCGACGAGCTTCTCGGTGGTGAAGTCGCCCTCCTGGATGACGACGCTGTCGAGCTGCCGCTTCTGGTTGGCCTTGCGCAGCATGTTTTCCTCAATCGTGTGCTCCGACACGAACCGGTAGATGTGGACGTCGCGTGTCTGGCCGATGCGGTGGGCGCGGTCCATGCACTGCGCCTCGATGGCGGCGTTCCAGTCGAGGTCGTAGAAGAGCACCGTGTCGGCGCCCGTCAGGTTGATGCCGAGGCCGCCGGAGCGCGTGCTGAGGATAAAGGCCGAGATGCGCAGGTCGCGGTTGAACTTTTCCGTGAGCGCCTGGCGCTGCTCGACCTTTGTGGCGCCGTCGAGGCGGAGGTAGCGGTAGCCGTGGTGGTTGAGGAAGGCCTCGAGGATGTCGAGCACCTTGGTCATCTGCGTAAAGATGAGGATGCGGTGGCCGCCCTCCTTGAGCCGCCGCATCAGCACGTCGAGCTGCTGCAGCTTGCCGCAGTCGTACTGGAGCAGCGACGCGTCCGGAAAGGCAATGTGCAGCTTGACGGCCACCGGGTGCAGCGTGTCGAAGCGCGGATCCGCCAGGCGGGCGTCGAGCGCGGGCGTCAGGCCGGGCAGCGCGTACCTCGGCATGTCGACGGCCACGGCGCGCGGCGTCACAAAGGCGAACCGGTCAATGGTCGGCTGCAACGACTCGACGCGCGCGGCGTTCGACACCACCAGCCGGCTCACGTTGTCGCACCGGTCCAGGAAGCCGCGGCGATCCGCCTCGACGGCCTCGAGCGGCAGCAGACGTCCGCCCTCGCCCAGCTTGCGCACCAGCGAGATGACGCTCTTGCCGTAGATGGGCCGGCGCAGGCAGCGCAGGTGGTTGACGTAGGCCGCGTGGTTCCACCGCTCCACCTCGGCGCGGTGCCGCTTCTGCGCCAGCGTCCGCCGGAAGCCGTCCAGGCTCCAAGTGTCGATCTCGGCGTCGCGGGCCGCAGCTTCGGTCTCGGTCTTGGCGTCGTTGCCGTCGTCGCCGCCCACGACGCCACCGGCAGTAAGGCGTGGGCGCGCCGGCTCTCGAAAAAACGGCAGCTTGCGCGACGCATCGAGGCGGCGCAGGTTGCGGCTGAGGATGGGCGTGAGGTGCGCCTCCTCTTCGTGCGCCGTGATGCGCAGGCCGATGGCGTCGAGATCGACCCTGTCGAGGGGGACGCCCTGCCGCCCTGGAAGCTGCATTGACGGCGTCTGCTGCTGTTGCTGCTGCTGCTGCTGCAACAGCCGTCGGCGCACCAGCAGCTCCTTGACTTCGTAGTCGGCCACGGCCGAGCGCTGCATGGCAAAGCTGGTGACAATCGGTCGCACCTCGAACAGGTCCGGATGGTTGCACACCTTGCGCAGCTGCATCAAGCAGTTGATGATGCTGAGGTAGTTGCCGCTGGCCAGGCTCTCGCGCGTCTTTGCGCGCGACATAAAGTCGTTGTACAGGAAGCGCTGGCGCTTCGAGAGGCGGCAGCGGATGACGTGCTCGTACTTGCTGGGCAGCTCGCGCTCGACCTCGCTCTTGAGCCGCCGCAGCAGGTAGGGGCGCAGCACCGTGTGCAGCTTGTGAATCATGGCGCGCATCTCGTCGTCCATGGCCGCGGCGCCGCCGCCCTCGATGGCGCGGTCGAGGGGCCGCGAAAACCGCTCCTGGAAGTCCTTCATGCTGGCAAAGGCGCCGCCGCCGGGCAGGTCGGCCACGCCGTGGGGCATGAGAAAGTACATCAGGCTCCACAGGTCCATGAGGTTGTTCTGCAGCGGCGTGCCCGTCAGCAGCAGCCGGCGCTGCGAGTTGAAGCCGAGCAGCGTCTGCCAGCGCTGCGAGCGGAAGTTCTTGATGTGGTGCGCCTCGTCGAGCACGAGGTAGACCCACGGCTTGCGCCGGAAGATGTGCTGGTCGGCCAGCACCAGCTGGTAGCTGGTGATGCACACGTTGAACGCGTTCTCCGTGTTCCAGCCGACGCGCTTCTCCTTGCGCTCGCGCTGGCTGCCAAAGTACGACAGGATCTTGAAGCCCGGCAGGAACTTTTTGAACTCGACCTCCCAGTTGAGCATCACGCTCGTCGGCGCCACGACGAGGTGCGGACCCCACACGCCGCGATCGCACGCCAGATGTGCTAGCAGCGCAATCGTCTGGATCGTCTTGCCGAGGCCCATCTCGTCGGCCAGGATCCCGTTGACGCCGTTGGCGTAGAGGCCCGCCAGCCACTCAAAGCCGATCTGCTGGTAGGGGCGCAGCTGGCCGCGCAAAAGGAACGGTTGTCTGGAGCGGCCGGTCCCCGCGCCCGAAGCCGACGCCGACGCCGAGTTTGCCCGATCGGGCGTATGGAGGACCGACGATGACGACGCGCGGGTCATGGAGCGCGAGCGAGCAGCAGCAGCGCCCGCCCCTTCTCCCGCTTTCTCGCCCTCGCCCTCGTCCTCGTCCTCGTCCTCGTCGGCCGACTCGACATCGCTGGCGATGCTCTCGGTCTTGGTGCGGGCAGTCGGCGCCATCTCTGCACGAATGCTGTCGTCGTCCGGGGGCCCGCCTGATTGAGTTGGCAGCGGCGGGGTCTCGATGCCGGACATGGCGTCGGCCGGCTCGTCTGCTGCAGTAATGTCGAGATCTTGCTTCGCTGCGGTATCGGCAGCGGCGGCAACTTCCTTGTTCTCGCCGCCTTCTTCCTCGTCCTCGGTGGCGTCCACGCTCTCGGTACCCTCGCCGCCGTTGCCGTATCCGTAGCGCTTCAAGAGCTCTTCGATCGGCACGTCGGCGTCGGCGGCCAGGCCGGCGTCCTCGCTGTCATCCGCCTCGTCCTCCTCCCACATCTTTCGCTCCAGCTCCTCGTCTTCGGCCGCAGCCTCCGGGTCGACGGCGGAGAAGTCGACGTCTTCGCCATCCGGGTCGGGCGTGGCAGGGCCGGTCGCGGCTGAGGACGAGGCGAGCGATGCTGATCGCGTCGATCGTCGGGTGCGAGGTGTTCGTCGAGCGGGTGCGTCGGCAGCATCGTCTCGATCCATGGCCCCGACCGAGGGGTTGTCCGCCTCGTCGACAGCAGACAACGAATCCTCCTGCCCGGAGGTAACATCAAGGCCTCGAAGGGATGGCGGCTCGTCTCTTGCCTCCGTCGCCTGCTCCTCGATAGCCGGTGCGGGCGACGGTGTCGTGAATCGGCCCGTTTCCTCATTGTCGAGCATCTCAACCAGCCGCCTGCCCCCGTCGCCTCCGCTCTTAATGCTTAGCCTGCTGCCGGCCGAGACGACGCTCACCGCCTCGCTCTCCGAACCGGTCTGAGAGCCCGCGTCGGTGTCGGTGCCAGCGCCGTCGTCGCCTTCAAGCTCCTCCTCCTCCTCCTCGTCCACATCATAGAAGCTGCGCTCGCTGTCGCTGCTCGAGCTGCCGAGGTCCATGCGCGCCATCTCCTCGTGCTGCTTCTGCAGCATCTGCGTGCTCTTCTCGAGGATGGCATTGAGCTGCTCCTTGTCGAGCTTGTCCTTTTCCGCCTTTTCGCGGGCCGCCTTCCTGGCACGCACGACGTTGGCGGCGAGTCGCCACTGCTTTGCGACCTCGCGCACCGTCCACTTGGCGAGTGCCCTCAGCCGCCTCTCCTCGGCGCGCCGCTCGCGCTCGCTCGATCCCGACTGGCGGTCCCAGTAGGCCGCGACCATGCGCGACACTCGCTTGGCCAGGGTGATGCGCTGCTTGTGGTTCTGCCGCATCTGCTGCGACATCGAAACCATGGCCTCGAGCAGGTGGTCTTGGCGATCGCGGCTTCGGGGCGCCTTGTGCGGTCGAAGGTGAGCCAAATGGCCCTCGCCGTCGTCAAGCGCCATCAGACCGCTACGTCTGCCGCGGTCGACCCGGAGGTACGCCTCGAGCAGCTCCTGTTCGGCCTCGTCTGCCTGACGAGGGTCGAGCTCCTCGTCGTCGACGTATCGAAACGACGCCCAAAGGTCGCAGACGGAGCCTCGGAACGCAGGGGGCTGCGGTATGTGCTGCGGCGCCAGCGCCCGTATTGGCGGCGGCGTGTCGGGTAGCGCACGGGGCTGCCGGTGTCTACGGATAAATTCGTCGAGGTCGTCGTCCAAAGGAGGGCCTGCACCATCGTCTCTCCGCCTGGCCTTGCCCTTTTTGCCGAATGAAGAACGTCGGTCCCGAGCCGTCGAGGGGCTGTCGGCCAGCTCAACGATGCGGCCGTTGGCCGAGGTCCTCGCCCTGCCCTGCTTCTTGCTCTCGCCGTCTCGGTGGTTGGCCTTACGCTTCCCACCCGTGCTCGGACCCGGCTCGGCGCTCCCGGCGCTGTCGTCCGCATCGTCAAAGGCCAGGCTGGCGGACCGACGGCTGAGCCGCGCGGAGCTCTCCCGACGTTTAGACGTTGACGATGTCGGCTGTTCCGTTGCGGCGGTAGCAACGGGCGTCGCCGGCGGTTGTGCTCGTTTCAGCGAGAGACCCTCGAGTCGGGCGTTGACGCCGCGCCGGGTGACGCGGCCGCCTCGGGATCCTGAAGGCCCAGCGCCGTCCGCCTCGAGGGCGAAGCGGAGGTCGTGCTCCTGCTGGAACTGCGAAAAGACGTCGCTGCGATCCTGCTTGGCCACCTCTGGGTCGTAGCCGATCAGGGTGACAAACTTGACAAGGTGGAAGAGCTCGCGGACGAGCATGTCGTGGTCATCATGGACGTCCTCGAGCGCCTCCTGGGACGCTTGAAGCCGCTCCTGTCTCCTCAGCGCGAGGATCTCGTCAAACGGACGCTGGGCCGTCGACGCAGTGATGGGCGTGATGCGGGTGCGAGGACCGCGGTCCACCGCGAGCGGCGTCGCAGATGCACCAGGGTCTTTGCCATCATTATCCGAGGCGAGAGCGTCATCAGGCTCGTCGGCAACTTCGTCGCGAAGGTCGGTCGGAGGCGCCCGACCATTGCGAAGAGCTGCTTCCGGGGCATTCGCTGAGCCCAATGCGGAGCTTCTCGAGCGACCGCGAGCGGGGTGGCCGCCGTCGCGCCCGCTGGTGCTGTCAGCCTTGGCTGGGGAAGCTTTGCGAGGGTTCGCGACTGATGCAATCGGCTGCAGACGTGATTTGGAGATCACCGGGCTGGACTGCGCGGCGTCCTTGTTGCTGCTCCCGCTTCCTATGACACTCCGACGGGCTCGTCGCGGGCGGCCATTGCCGTTGCTTTCGGCGCCGCTGCTGCTAGCAGTGTCGTCCTCGGGGACGATCCTGAAGGCGGGTCCCGGGCTAGAGAAGCCGAGATCGGCATCGAGCCGCCGGCGCTTTGCATGCGGACGGGCAGTGGAGCCGTTTCTGTCGCTTTTACCATCGCGGTCGACGGCGTGCTGGGGCAGAGACGATCCACTGGCGGGGGCTTGCTCGGCAGAGCTCCGACGGCTGTGTCGTGACCGGGCGTCGGACCGGACCGAGCCGTCGGATGCTTTCGGGTTCGTAGCGCTCGAGGGTCGAGTACCTACGCCTGCCGTCGCCTGCTCTTCGGGTTCGGATTCATGACCGGAGAGTGTCGATGGGCGAGACATTGACCAGCGCCGGAGAGGCGGGCAGTCAAGCAGGCGGGCGGTCGAGCTTGCAGGTCAGGTCGAAGCGGGCGGGGGTGCCGTGTCGCCTCTACGGTTTCGGCAGCTTCGACGGAGACGGCTGTCCTGCTAGCGCCTGCGCGCTCCGAGGCGAGACACCGCTGCTACCTTCCTAGCTCTGCCGGCGACGTGGAGGGCTGACGGGTTGCGTGCGACAGATTGGGCAGGATAGGCGAGCGCGACATGCAAAGGTCGAGTCGGGTTGGGTTGGGCCGGGACCGGGCGAGGCGGGGCGTGATGAGACGAGCCGAGTCGAGGGACAGCCGGTAGCGATGCAGCAGTGTGGCGCGATTGTCGAGGCCACTTTGCTGGGGCAAAAAAGCTGCTAGTCTGGTCGGTATGCGCGAGAAAGGGGGTCGTATCCGGATGTCGTGATAGAGGCTCCGCTGATCAGCCCGGAAGCAAGCGACTTGACTGCTCGCGATCGAGATGGACAAGTTCGCAGGTGATTGACAGTGGCGAGAAAGAGTCTGAGAGGGGACGTCGTCGATCGACGGGAGCTGTTAGAAGAGAAGGGTCGGTGGTGGTGGTAGTCGTCAGCAAGGGAGGGAGCTCAAGGGCACCTCGGAAGTCTATTTCGACCCGGCTGGAACCCGACGTCGCATAAGAAGCGCACACGCGTGAGGCGGGCCTAGGGAAATTTTTGAATACAACGGCGCGACCCGGCGTGTAACGTGCAGGCTAAGTCGATTTGTATTCGATGGGCCCAGCCAGACATCTCGTCGTCCGACTTGGGACAACGAGCGAGGTGGAGGCCCGGATCTCGGTCCCGAGTGTGGACAGTTGAGTTCGATCGGCTTTTGACCCGATGGACGGCGTCGAAAGACACCTCATCGGGCCAGAAAACGTGGCCCCGGCTCCTTGTGAGCCCGACGGGCAGGCCGGCTGGGAGCTGCAGGAAACAAACAGCCGAGGGTTGTGCGGGGACCCTGCCTGGCCTGGCCTGCCATCACGCCATCAAGCCGGTGGATGTCAACATCTTGCTTTTCGCTGCTCCGCTTCCACCTGCCTGGAGCTGCGACCTCCCGACCCCTAGCCCGGCCTCCTCTCTGACTGTGCCCTCGACGCCCCGCTCCCCTTCTCGACTTTCAAACGCACCAACTCGCTTGCCTGCTGGCCTGTCCAGCTGCTCTTCTCTGACTCGCCGACGACCGCCTCGCCCAAGGCCTCCTCGAGTGCAGCACGGACCAGCGGAGATGGGCAGACCAAGAAGAAATCCCCCGACCGCTGCCCCTGCCCCCACGCCTGCCTACCCGCCTCCGGCCTCGCACGCTCCCTCTGGCGAGCCGAGGAAGATGTTGAGATGGGCCTCTTAGCCTGGCTCGCTCCGCCTTCAGCTCCAGCCGGTGCCATCGCAGAGCAGGCAAAGCAGACGACCGACAACGGGGCGGTGAAGCGGCGTGGCGCTGATGAGCTTCAGGGTGACCAGCGCTGCCATACGATCATGGCGTCCATCGACCGTGAGCGAAGAAGCATGGACGAGCATGTGGGCAGGGGGCTAGGAGAAGGGCTGGGGAGGCAGGCAGGGGGCCAGCCGGTGCAGCAGGCAGCTGGCGGTGACTGCTAGATTCCACAGAGCGAAGCACGCAAGCGGGAGGCCCGGCCTAGCCTGGCCTGGCCTGCGACATGGCCTTGATCCTCGCTCCTCGTGGGGCCCTTCGCCTTCGCTAGCCGCGCCCTCCCCGCTCGCCTCGTCTATCCGGGCTTCCCCATCCTGACGGTGGGAGGTGGTATAAGAACCTCGCTCCTCTGTCGGCAGTCGCCTCTCGCGCTCCACCACCGTGCCCCCGTCTCCCTCGCTCCTTCTTGCCTGGACCCCTCCCCTGCCTCCCCGCACACCTCCGTCCCATCGGTTCCACTTCGTGCACCTGCCCATCATGTCCCACTTCGACACCCTCCAGGTGAGTCTCGGCGCTCTCGCCTCTCAGCCGGTGTACCGAGACCCCGTCAGATCGGTCGAACGGAGGTAGCAGGGGCCGTTTGGTCGTCCCAGGCGCCCAGCCGACCGGGATCGCGGGCGAAAGCGAGATTGGCGCCTCGGATCGCGGTTGGACCGCAGTCAGAATAAATGTGGGCCGATCGAGTTGCGCCGCAGAGGTTGTCGGCGGGATTTGCAGCGGGGGCCGTTGTTCTGCGGCATCCCGTGTGCGTCCCAACGCCCGCCGTCGAGATAATCAGCGCGGGAGGCTCCTCCGGATGGCTGGTTGCGGGGTCAGAGGAGGAGCAATCGCGTCCACGCGACCGAGGCAGAACGAGCGCCGCCGATGGAAGAGAGGCACTGAGCTGACGACGTTTATACCATGCTTTTCATCTCTGCACACGTCCAACAGCTCCACGCCGGTCAGGAGATCGACTCGGCCACCAACGCCCGGGCCGTTCCGATCTATGCCTCGACCTCGTTTGCCTTCAACAACTCGGCCCACGGTGCCGACCTGTTCGGCCTCCGCGCCTTTGGCAACATGTGAGTGCTGCTCGCGGGCGGCTCGCCTTTTGCATCGCGGTGTGGCGGAAGCATTCAATCCTAGCACACAGCCGGGTCGGCGGCTGTTCGACGGACAGAACGGCCGATCAGCGACATGGCAATCGCGTGGACCGGACTTGGACCGCATCGCTGACTCGGCCTTTTCCCTGTTTCCGGCCCGCGCTTCTCCTCGCCTCCACCTCGCAGCTACTCGCGTCTGATGAACCCGACCAACGACGTCTTTGAGAAGCGCATGGCCGCGCTCGAGGGAGGTGCCGCCGCGCTCGCCACGTCGTCCGGCCAGGCCGCGCAGGGCATGGCGGTGCTCGCGCTGTGCAACACCGGCGACAACATCGTCTCGTCGTCGTACCTCTACGGCGGCACCCACAACGCCTGGTCCACCCTCTTCCCGCGCATGGGCATCACGACCAAGTTTGTGCGCTCCGAGAAGCCCGAGGACTACGCGGCGGCCATCGACTCCAAGACCAAGGCCATCTACATCGAGTCGATCGCCAACCCCAAGTACCTCGTCCACGACATCGCCGCCATCGCCAAGGTGGCCCACGACAACGGCATCCCGCTCATCGTCGACAACACGTTTGGCGCCGGCGGCTACCTCGTCCGCCCCATCGAGCACGGCGCCGACATTGTCGTCCACTCGGCCACCAAGTGGATCGGCGGACACGGCACCACCATCGGCGGTGTGATCATCGACGCCGGCAAGTTTGACTGGAAGGCTTCGGGCAAGTTCCCGCAGTTCACCGAGCCCTCGGCGGGCTACCACGGCCTCAAGTTCTGGGACACGTTTGGTCCCATCACGTTTGCCATCTACTCGCGCGTCGTCATTCTGCGCGACCTGGGCCCGTGCCAGAACCCCTTCGGCTCGTTTATGCTGCTCCAGGGCATCGAGACGCTCTCGCTCCGTGTTCAGCGCCACGTCGAAAACGCCCTCGCCCTGGCGACGTGGCTCGAGGCGCACCCGCGCGTCGCCTGGGTCTCGTACCCGGGCCTCGCCTCGCACCCGTCGCACGAGGTCGCCAAGCGCTACCTCAAGCGCGGCTTCGGCGGCGTCCTCTCGTTTGGCATCAAGGGCGACGCCGCCGTCGGCAGCGCCTTTGTCGACTCGCTCAAGCTCGCCACCAACCTGGCCAACGTCGGCGACGCAAAGACCCTCATCATCCACCCGGCCTCGACGACGCACCAGCAGCTGCCCGACGACGAGCAGCTCGCCTCGGGCGTCACAAAGGACCTCATTCGCGTCTCGGTCGGCATCGAGTGGATCGACGACATCAAGGCCGACTTTGAGCAGGCCTTCAAGGCCACCGAGGGCGTCACCGGCGGCGTTCCCGCCGGCCAGACGGCCGTCCCCGGCCTCAGTGGCGCCGCCTAGAGCGGCCACAGCGCTGCCCACCGGCCTACACAGGCCCGCCATCGAGGAGACGGCGGTGACAACGACGACGACGACACAACGATCACGACCACGACCACGACGGATGGCGGCGATGGGCGATTGATAGATCCTTAGAGGGGGGAAAGCAGCGAGCCAGGCCGAGATGGACATGGCCAACAGCGGCGGCCACGTCAGCAGCGGCAGCAGCCAAGAGCAGTGTATACCACCCAGACGACGGCGGGAGCAGCCTGCCCGCCCGCCCGCCAGCAAGCCAGCCACGATAATGAGCTCAAGGGCGATCCCGCTCCACCCAGCCAACGACCCCTGTCTTTCCGTTCCTCGCGTCCCGTCCGTGCCTCTCATCCCGTTCCCGTTCCGCCGCATTCCGAGCCACAGCCGCATCCTCGCTTTCTCCCTTGCTTCCGATCCCTCTTGCCACCGGCCGTTGCCTCGAGCCAGCCGACGGGTTCCGCTCGAACTAGAAGGCGCCCCTCGACGCGGCGCCGCGGGGCACGACGAGCGCCTCTTCGGCTCGCGCCGCTGCCCGGCTCAGCGCGGCTACGCTCGGCGTCTGGCGCACCGCCTTGTGGCCTCCGCCGCCAGACGACGCCGACGAAGATCCCGCCGCCCCCGACGCCGTTGCCACGGCCCCTCGCCAGAGGCCAGCCACCTTTTCGGCTGTCGTGGCCGTCGAGGCCGATGCGGCTCCGCTGACGTCGCTCTTGGCGTCGTCGTCGGCGGGCCCCACCGCCGCCGCCTCGTACTGCAGGGCCAGCGTGGCAGGCGTGATGATGCGCGACACGGGCGACGGGCCCATCATGCTGCCGCCGCCGAGTCCGCCCGGCGCGCCGGCGTCGAGGAAGGTGCTGCGGATCGACGAGTCGCTGAGGCCGCGCGGGCGCAGGGTGCGCTCCAGCAGCGCGCCCGGGTACGACGACTCGGGATCGTCTTCGGTGTCCAGCGCCGAGGCGTGGTGGCGCGATCGGCCGTGGTGGAGGCTCACCTCGTCGTCGTCGACGATGCGGCTCAGCGGTCGCTGCGCAGCGCCCCGGTTCGCGCTGCCGCTGGCCAGGAGGCTGCTGCCGAGGCTCGAGGCGTCGCGGCGCTGGGGCGTGTACGACGACGACGACAGCGACGGTCCGTGGCGCCCCGACGGAGAGGCACCGAAGCCTTCCGGGTTGCCGAGCGTGCCGGCGAAGAGCCCCGACAGATTGCGCGACTGGACGCGGCTGAGCGATCCCGGCGCACGCCCGCGCTTAGGCCGCGGTCCTGCCTTCAGGCCACCACCGCTCGGCGGCGGCGAAGTCGATGCCAGGGAGCTCGTGCCGCCGCTAGAGGAAGCGTTGCTCGCTTCGGCGGCCGATGCGTGCAGGCCCTTGACCTCGACGGCGACCGACGACGATACGACGGCGGCCGATGCGCGCGGAGCGAGATGTGAGGCGTAGGCCGAGCCGCCCGAGACGGCGCGCGTCGGCTGCATCCGGCCTCCTGCGCCGGCGCCCGAGCCGGATGGCCGTGACAATGATGATGATGGCGCCCCCAAGCCGAGCCTGCCCGCCGCTCCCGACGACGACGCTTCGGCGCTGCTTCCGCCGCCGTCCATTGCTGCTGAGCCCGGTCCGGTTCCGGTCCCGGCGCCGGCGATGCCCGTCGAAGCGGAGGCCAACGACGCCGCCGCCGAGGACGACGACGTCGACGAAGATCCCGTCGACGACGGCCCGCCAAGCAGCATCTTGCCGAGCCAGCCGACGGCCGAGGGGATTGGCAGCAGCGAGCGGTCTTCGGCCGCCGTCGCTCCGAGGTGCTCTTGGAGCAGCTTGGCGGCCGCGCCCGGGTTCATGTGGATCTCGTTTACGCAAAGCCGCAGCCTCGCCACCTCGCACAGGATGTCGCGGAAGGCTTTGAGCACCGCGAAAAACTCCTTGCGCGACACGAGGCTCTCGCTCGAGGCGTCGCGCGAGCCCATGGATGAGTCGTCGCGCGCCTGCTGGCGGCTCTCTTGCTCGACGAGGCGGCGGAAGTGGTCGCGCAGGCCGTCGACGTCGCGCAGGATCGAGTTGACCGTCGTGCGCGCCAGATGGCCCACGTCGCCGGCAAGATGCTGACGCTGCAGCCGCCGTGTGAGCGTGTCGACGTCGGCGCTCGACAGCCGTCCAAACAGGCGCTGAATGTAGTCGAGCAGCGTGGCGAGCTGGCTGGTGCGGTTGTCGCGCTCCCGCCTGGCAGCCTCGGCGAGGAAGGCCGAATTGCCTGTGGCCGAGGCGGCATCGTGTTCGCTGCCGCCGCCGCCACCGCCAACGGCGCTGATCGTGTGCTCGCTCCCCGCCTCGGCGCGGCTCGGACGCCGCGTTACCGGCGTGTCGCTCGAATGCGAGGCGCCCGCAATCGCCGGCACCAGCCCCGCGGACATCGAACGGGGGCTATCCTGGAGGGAGCCATCTAGGACTCCCGCAGCCACGCTGCTGGCAGCCGATGACCGCGAGTAGGATCGCGCAGGCTGCGCACGTGTCGCCGCCGACGATCGGCGTGCGCTCGAGGGCGTGCGGGTGAGGGTGACTCCGGGCAGCGGCGACGTCGCCGTCGTGTTGGAGGTCGCTGCTGCTTCAGCTCCTGGCACCACCACCTCATCGGACAGCGTTACAGGCGCGAGGGCTGCATCGTCGTCGTGCTCGTCGCCCTCGCCCCCGTCGATGTCGGACCGACGTGACGACGACGGCACTCGGTAACTGCTGCCGAAGCCGAGGCTGCTGGGCGGCCGCGAGTGCATCGAGGGCCGTGGCGATGAAGACGAGGCGGCTGCTCCCGTTGTCGATGCCCCGGGCGTCGCTGACGAGGAGAAGTGGTCATAGACGCTGCTGGCATCGGCCTGCTCGCGGATCGCCGCCAGCTCCTCGGTGCGGGCCTCGAGCAGCTCCTGCAGCTGGGCGTTGCCCTGTCGCAGCGCTTCATTGTCCCGGACCAGCGTATCGACGACGCTGGCCACCTCGTCGCCGCTGCCGCCGTCGTCGGCGTCTGCGCCTCCATTGCCGCCGACCTGGCCATCCTTGCCACTCTCGCTGCTCCTGGCTTGGCGCATCCCGACGGCGAGCCTGCGACGCGCCTCGTCGAGAGCCTCCTCGCTGACGCTGACCTTGGCGTCGCGGCGAATCGAGGCGATGTCGACCTCCTTGCGCGCCTGCTTGAGCGACTCGGCCAGCTGCGTGTTGCGCTCCGACAGCTTGCGCGCGCGCGCCTCGGCAGCGTCGGCGCGCTTGCGCTCGGCGGCGAGCTCCTGCTTGGCGTCGTCGAGCTGGGTCGCGAGCCGGTGTGCCTTGTCCTCGGCGCCCGCCATGCGCGTCTGGCTCGCCCGCAGCTTGGCCAGCTGGCCGCGCACCTCGTCGAGCTCGTGGAGCAGCGTGCGGTTGCTGCTGTCGGCCGCCTCGAGATTGAGGTTGGCCTGTGCCAGCTGCCGCTCTAGGCCCGACGTCTCCTTGTAGCTCTTTGTGAGCCGGCTCATGAGGCCGTCGCGCTGCTGGATGTACTCCTGCGCCTGCTTTTGCGAGCGCGCGTGCATCGCATCGTGTCGCTTGAGCAGCGCCTGTCCGATTTCTGCGAGCGATAGTAGCCAGTTGGGCCGAGGTGAGAGCAAAAGAATCGCGTCGAAAGCATAGAGCAGTGAGGTCGGTCGATTGTCAGTATGCTTTGCGGTTCTCAGACCCAAGCGAGCAGCTATCGTTTCGATTCCCATCCGGGATCGCCATCCCGCTCGAGTCATGGCTGCCCTTTGTGTACCCGCTCGCCGCCGCTACTCACCTGCGCTCAGCCTGAGGTCGGCCTCGAGGTCGCGCCACTCTTGCCGCGCGCGAATGGCGCTGGGGCAGTCGTCGCGACCGCAGCAGCAGGTGCAGCGCCCACGGGTCGCCGAGGCGCCGCCGTAGTCGCTCCCGCTCTCGCCCGAGATGCTGCGCCGCCGCCTACAGAGGCTGGTGCTGGCGCTGATGCTGCCGGCATCGCTGCCGGTGGCGCCGTCGTCGCTGCGTGCTCCGCCCCACTGCGAGCCCGTCTCGGTGTTGACGGCGAGCGATTCGGCGTACGTCGACTTGCGGTTGAGCCTGAACTCGGAAATGATCTTGGTAAAGTCCTCAATGGTGCGCGACTGGCGCACGCCCTCCTCGAGCTCGTCGATCTCGGCCGGGTCGGCCGTGGACAGCATCGACATCGATTGGTCTCCGCCACCGCCGCCGCCGGTGGTGTCGGCGATGGATTCGGCGTAGTCGGACCCAGCTGCATCGCCGGAAGCGTCGCCCTCGCCCAGCGAGCCCGCTCGGGATCGCAGGGGCGAGAGGAACGACGACGACGCCATTGAATTGGTGCCGTCGGCGCGGCGTCGGGTCGGGCTGTGCGTCGCCTGAAGGTGATCGCGCTGGTGGTGCAGATGATTGCTGCCGCCGGCGTGGCGGAGCGATGTGGTACGCGCAGAAGGAGAAGCAGTGGCGCTACGAGCGTCGGTCCCTTCGTCTTCCTCTGGCACCTGCCCGTCTAAGCCCAGGCCAAGTCCGAGCCTTCGTGGCGAGCCGGTGCTCATTGTGGCAGCGTGCGGTGAGCTCAGCGAGGAGGGCGACGAGAGGTGGTCGCGCCCCGCTGCGTCGAGCTGACCTGCTGCAGTTGGTTGCTGCTGGTCCTGCGACGAGGCCGGCTGGCCAAAGGGATGGTGGTGCTGTTGACTAACGTACCTCGCGCTGCTACCGGTGCGGCGGTGCCGCTGAGGCTGACGCTGGAGGCCTGGCTGGTGGCGGCGTTGCTCGGTCTGTTCGGGGCGCTGCCGTACCGGCTCGTCGGTCTCGGTCTCGGTCTCTGCGCCCGGAGCTCCGCCGCCTCGTCCCCCACCGCTACCGCTGGCGGCCGAGAGGGCGGGAGAGTGCGGCGTCGACCAGGCCTGATCGGCGATGAGCGGGGAACCGAGAAGGGGCGAGCAGTGGATGGCCGGTAGCGAGAGGCGCTTGAGATGGCGGGGAGCGATGGTTGCGAATCACGAGGGCCGAGGACGGCCGCGCAGTGGAGATCCAGAGAGATGGCAAGGAACGGCAGAGAGGTCAAACGAAGAGGTGACTAGGCTTGGTGCATCGATCAGCTGAGATGGTTTGTGTGTGCCGGTGCCGATGTTGTCGCTTCTAGGAAGAGCCCCGAGAGATGCTGCAGCCGGTCTCTTGGTTCCGCCGTCCCAGAGTAGGGTTGCGCACTGTAGAGGATTACGAAGAGAGAAACGCTCAGAGCGCTAGCCTATTGTGAGGTGATGCAGACTAGTGTTCGGATCGATGTGGTGCTGCTGTGAGCGTCGTCTCCGTCGAAGCAAGGCGTAAGCGGTAGTTGGGCGGGCTAAGCGGGTGGTGTGCAGTCTAGGGTCGAGGGCCGGACAGATAGGCGGGTCGAGTGTCGGATGCGTTCGGAGTGGTCAACGAGACGACGATCGAGGCCGTCAAGGGACGGTGGTGATGGTGGTGGTGGTGGGCGGGTGGGAAGCATGCAAAGGACAAAGCCAGCAGGTAGTGTGGGTGCGTCGTTGCGAGGCGAGGCGAGGCGGAGCGGAGCGTGCCCGAAACCAAGTCCTGAATGCTTAGGCCAGCGTAGGTTGGGAGCAGAGGTCGCGGTTTGGTCTGGAAGGTGTGGCTGGCCAGTTTTGATGCAAGGAGGACGACGGGGGCCAAGCCAGGGTCGGGCGAGCGTGCGTGCGTGCGAGCGCGGGTGGGTGGGTGGTTGGGTAGGGTGCGTGCCTGGTGTTGGTTGGTTCCGCCCGTCCGCCCCCAGGCCCAGTCTCGGCCTTTCCGCCAGACTAGGGCCGGGTAGGGCTGAGATGCCCCTTTTGTTTCGGCGGGTGCCGCACGCGCTGCGCTGCGTTCGGGCTGACCGGGCAAGCGGGCGGGAAACGGAAGAAGGCCGAGCAAACAGGCGGTAGCCAAGGCGAGAGAGAGAGAGAGAGCAACACCCGGCCCAGGCCAGGGCTGCCAGTGGGCCGACACGCGCACGCGTCCCTCAAGCCAGGCAGGCCGGGCCTGGCCAGGCAGGCAGGCAAGGGCTGGCCTTGATGCGCCTCGGCCTTTTTCCCTGTCCGATTTTTCGCGGGTCAGATACATTGAGCGCCCCGCTCGCCGAGGCTGCTGCTCGAGCTACCGGTACCAACCCTACCATCCAACGGCGGCAAGGTCGCGACGGGAGAGCGTGTGGGCCAGTCCAGCGTGCACGATCGGGCTGTGTAAGCCGCGCTGAACGATAGCGGAGTGAAGCGGCGACGGGAAAGATCGAGCTCGTTACGATTCCAGGCCGCGCCGTAAGGCTCAGCCAGCTGGTCGGGTCGGGCGTTGTCAGGCGCAGCACTGAGCTCATCTCGACGGACGGGGGGGCTGCTCGACCAGCCGGCCCGCTTCCTCGCCTTGCTCAGCATCAAGCTGCTCGACTCGCTAGGCCGTGCCTCTGAATGATCCGCGGTGCTTCGTCTCATCACTTTCCATTGCTGTCGTGCCCGTTCGCACGCTCTCGAGCTCAAACCATGCCGGCCCAGCTCGACACGAACGGTACTGCTCCTCCTTACTCTTCCCCTTACCTAGGCTCCACCGGCGAGGCTGCTGGTAAGGATGGTCGAGAGGATGCGCGGGATATCCTTCATCTCGCGCGCCACAAACGCCTTGCCGGGGAGCTGCTTGGCGGTGTAGACGGCCTCGTTGCCCTTATCGATGAAGAGGACGGCAGTCTTGACCGTCTCGTCGGTGCCGAGGGTGCGCGAGAGCGTGTGCGGGTTGATGCCGTACCGCGCCAGGTTGGCGTCCGAGATGGCAATGACAAAGTGGTCGTCGCACTTTCCCTCGTCGCTCCCAACGCTGGCGGCGAGGCCGACGGTTTCGTCCATGTCGCCGCCGTCGTCGGACGAGGTGGGGACGCCGTCGAGCCAGGACGAGGGAAGACGCTTCTTGACGTCCCGGATCGAGTGCTCGATGCACTTGAGCGTAAAGTCGCCCGACTCGCAGTACTGCGTGTGCGAGACGATCGATCGGAGCACGCGGTACTGGTCGCCCTCGCTGCGCGGCAGCTTGCCGATCCCCACCAGCGGGATCATGTGGTTGTCGCCGCTGTGGCCCACAATGTCGAGCGCGAACCGGGTTGGATCGACGCGAGCAAAGGCTTGCATGACCATCTGCGGGGATCGTCGAGGGCGAGGCCGAAAGGAAGGGGCGACAGCATGGTCAACGCGCGTCCCGTCACGGCACATCATCCGGACCATCTCTGGACCAATCGTCACTACTCACCAAGCACACCTCGAGCTCCCGCTGCAGTCTTCCGTCAAATTGCATGGAATACATAGAGGCGCTGGCGTCAAGCACGATCCGGATGCGTTTCGGCTTGAGCTGGGGCGCGCCGATCTCGGGGGGTCGTTCGCTGCGACGCTTGTAGATGGCGCGCTCGCCCATGAGGCCCTCGCTGAGCCTGCGCTCGTCGAGCTCGCCGTCCTGCTGGCGCGAGACCCAGGCGCGCTCCTCCTCGTTGGCCTTGAGGTCGTTGAGGGTGTTGGCGAGGTGCTGCACAAAGGGGGCCACCTTGGCGTTGAGCTCGTGCATGTTGACGGCCTCGTGCGGCGCCAGGCCGTTTTCCTTGAGCTGCTTTTCGAGGGCGGCGCGGGCCATGGCGCGCGCCTGCCTCTTGATGTGGTCCGGCACGTCGTCCTTGAGCGCTTTGGACACCCGGTGGATCTTGTGGCCCTTGTACAGCCGCTCGTAGCCGCCCCGACCGCCCAGGCCGGCCGTGTCGCGTCCGCCCGTTCCGCCGCGCCACGTGTTGCCGCCAACGTGTTCCTCGTTGTTGGGATCCTCCTTGCCCTCCTTGGGCCTGTCGAGGTCGGTGGATCGGCCCGCCTTTTTCGGGTCGTAGTCCTCCATGCCCTCAAAGGTGATCTTGAGCGCATCGGCGGGCTTGATGCGGTTGCGCAGCGCCTCGAGGTCGAGGTCGTCGACGGGCAGGCCGCGCTTGCGCAGCGCATCGACCACCCACCGGATCGCCTCGGGCCGGTGCAGGTCGAAAGACAGCGCGTTGAGCAGCACGTCGCTGAGCTTTTCGTCTGGGAAACGCTCCATGTGGGCGACGAGGTGGAGCAGCTCGCGCAGGGAATAGGGGTGGTTGATGAGCCCGGCGTCGAAGCCGTCGCGCAGGTCGTGGAAGGCGACGTCGAGCTTGCGCAGCAGGTCGACGTCGACCGAGGGCGCGGCGGCGTGCAGCAGGCGCACCTCGGACTCAATGTCCGGGTTGGCCACGGCGTAGCACGAGAAGCCCTCGCCCGCCGAGCCGATAAAGTCCTGGCCGAGGAACGGGTAGGACGGCCGGTTGGAGAGCAGCGCCAGCCGGAACGACGGGTGGACGATGACGTCGCTCGGATCGCCGCGGCTGCCGACGGGGCGGATGCGGCGGCCGTCGGGAAGCGTCAGCTCGCCGCGCTCGGCCAGGCTGCGGAACACGGCCGACACCGACGTCGAGCACTTGTCGACCTCGTCGACGACGAGGATCCGCCCGAGCTTGACGGCGCGGACGAGGGGCGAGTCGTAGTAGCGGATCTGGCCGTTTTCCAGCGCAATCTGCTGCAGCAGCCCGCCGACGGTCGAGTCGCGGTTCATCTGGATGTACTCGCGCGGCCGGTTGAGCAGCTCGAGGGTGCGGTCGATGAGCTTGTTCTTGCCCGTGCCCTGGCTGCCCATCAGGAGGAGGTGCTCGCCCAGCAGCTCGAGGTCCTCGGCAAAGGAAAGAAGCAGCGCCGACTGCTGCGGGTTGTTGTAGAAGCTGCCGCCCAGGTCCGGCACCAGAGCCGCGCCGCCGTCCGGGTCGAGCCGGTCGACGTCGAAGCGCGGCACGACGCGGCGCGCGTGCGGCCGGTCGCTGGTGTCGGTGACGTCGAACTCGAGCGTGCGTCCGCGCACCTCGGGGTCGCCGACGCGCAGCCGGGGCACGTAGCGAAACGCGCCCTCGGAGCCCGGCGGGTGGATCTTGCACTCCTGAAGCAGGTTCTGGATGACCTCGCGCACCGTGCTGGGCAGGAAGTCGACGAGGAGCGTGCGCCACACGAGGCCGTGCAGGTCGTAGTCATCCTCGTCGGCGTCGCCGTCGCGCCTGCGCTCGAGGGTGAGGCGCGACGCCATCCGGATCACCTGGCGCGTCCCCAGCCTGCGCGACTTGGCCAGGCCCAGCGTCGGGTCCGAGCTGAGCTGGCGATAGCGCTGCACGAACACGAATAGGCGCTTGAGCGCCGCCGAGTCGGCGGGGATGCCCGTGCGCCGCAGCACAATCTCGCGCTCCTCGGCCTCGTCCATGGGCGTGGTGATACAGGTGGCGAACAGCGTGGCCGCCTCCTCGCTGAGCCAGCCAGCCGCCTTGGTCGCGGTGAGGACGACGCGGAAGCTGTCCGGGATCGAGAGGGGTCCACTTGCGCTCTGGCCTGCCGCATCGCCGCCGCCGCTGCCGCCGCCCGCACCGCCCAGGCTGATCCGCTGCCCGTTCCAGAGCTCGCTCTCACGGTCCTGGAGCAGCCTCGAGAGAGAGCTCAGCGTGGGACCCAGCACGTCGACGCCGGCGAGGTGGATCAGCTTGCCCTGCATCGCGCCCCGGATCAGGGGCGCGGGCTCCCAGCCCGTCGAGCCGTCCGGCGCAGTCGAGCGGCGCATCAGCAGCTCGCCGCCACCCAGGTCCTTCCAGAGCCACACCGACTCGTACGCGTAGCCCAGGGCCGAGGCGAAGAGCGAAATGCACGTCGTCGTCGACGACGAGGGCTTGTGCGCCGCGGCGGCGGACGCCATCTCGGCCGACGAGGCGACGGGCGCAGCGTCGAGCGACCCGGGCACCAGGCAGATGTCGCGGCCGACAGCGTGCAGCTGGACCAGCCGGGTAAAGATGGACAGGACGCGCGGCGTGATCACAACGTCCTGGCCGACCGTCTCGCCGAGCTGCGGCATGGGTCCCAGAGGCAGGGGTCCACAGGGCACCTCGAGGCTGACGGGCGCAGCGCCCTGGCCGGCGTTGGTGAAGGTGATCTTGGCCCGGTTGCCATCGACCCGCTCAATCGAGGCCACGTTGTAGCCCAGGTAGCCGGCGCCCGTGTGCGCAGACTCGGACGCGACGCCCAGCCCCTGATCGAGGCGAAGCTGAGCGAGGAGCTCGCCGAGGGTCTGGTGCTTGTCCTTGTCGAGGGCGCAGATCTGCGGATAGGCGGTGCTGAGGGCCGACAGCGTCGAAGCGGCGATGATCGGTGCTGCGGGTGTCGCCGCCGCGGCCGCGGCCGCCTCTTCGTCCGACTTGATCTGCTTGACGGGCGCAAAGACGGCGATGCTGTCGGCCTTCTGCTGGGCCTCGGTCTGCTCGTCGACGATGGGCGGCAGGGCGCGCGTCGGCGGAAAGGCAAGGGTGAGGTCCTGCAGCAGCGACGTGGCGGTGGTGGGCAGGTTGGGCAGGCGAAGCGTCGGGGGCACCACGTCGTTGCCCTGTGCGAGGGTGGTGTGGAAGCGCAGCAGCGCAGCCAGGTTCGACCAGCGCCGGCAGAGGTCCTCGGCGAGCGGTGTGGGCTCGAGGGCGACGGTCTGGTCGATGGAGCCCTCGACCCAGCGCGCCTGGAAGCGCGAGCGGAACGGCGGGTCGAGCGGGAGGCCCTTGTACGGCGGAATGGGCGTTCCGATCGAGATGACGCGGAAGTTGGGGTGGACGGGGATGAAGCGGCTGGCCAACTTGGGCTTGCCCTCGGCGGCCGACTCGGAGGCCTCCTGGCTTCGCGCCGCCTCGATCTTTTCGGCGGGGATGAGGAAGCTGCCGTCGGCGAGGTTCTGCTCCCGATTCTCGAGGATGTTGTTGATGACGGGCGTGACGCCACGCTCCGCCCTCTCGACGCCCTCGAGGATGAGGAGGTGGCCCTCCTTCATGGCGCGCACGACGGGCCCGTCGACAAAGACGAGGCTGCCGTCGGCGGTGAGGGAGCGGGACTGGAGCATCTCTGCCTCGCCAATGTCGCGGTGGAACGAGATGTACTCGTAGGGCAGCTGCAGCAGCGCGGCGAAAGTGAGGCTGAGGCGGCGGGCATAGGGACCGGGTGGGGCGAGGAGGAAGACGTCCTGACGCAGCTGCCACTTTTTCCCGAGGAACTCGAGGTGCTCGAGGACGAGCGGGTCGTCGAGGTTGAGCAGCAGGCGTTCCGATGGGAGGCGCGTGGGGTCGCGCGCCTCAAAGACGGGGATGCTGACGTTGGGGCCGAGCTTGAGCGTGCCGAGGGGGGTGCCTGCCTTGGGCATGGGCGTCGACGATGGAGAAGACGAGGGAGATGCGCTCGCTGCGCTCGACGTGGTGAGCGGGCGGGTGGGTTGGACATGGCGGCCGATGGAGGCGATCCTGCGCCTTCCGGCAGCGGCGGCGGCGGCGTTGTTGGCGGCCGAGGCTGCCGAGCCATCGTCCGAGGTCATGGCGAAAGGTGAGCGTCGAGGCTGCGGTGAACGTAGCGCGGTCGAGTTTGGGCGTGATGGCGCGGCAAAGAGACGATGATGCGGCCGAGGTCGACGCAGGGCGGACAGCATCAACGGCCGGACCAGCGAGCGAGATGGGGAATCTACGGTCGTCGTCTAGGATGGGACTCTTCGAAGGGTGGTGGGCATGAACGAAGGGCAGGTCGATGAACGTCGAGGGAGAGGGCGAAGGGGGGAGGGGGAAGCCGTTATGGGGGAGGAATGGTTCGAAGCCAAGGCCAAGAAGGACGACGAAGGCGTCGGCAGCGGCTGAAAGCCGAAGCGGTCGAAGCAGCCGGTGATGCGGCCGGCCACTTGCAAAAGCCGAGCGAGACAGAACCAGGCGGCGCCGCGTCCGGGACGTACGTCCGTGATTATTCTTGCGGGGCCAGATGCGGGGCACCAACCACGCCCAGCACACCGGCCTGGCCTCTTTCCGCCTTCATATCCACAGCAAAGTCAGCAGGCAGCAGGCGGCCATCCAGAGGCAGCAACAGATCGTCTTCCTTTGGTTCGGCGGCAGACAAGCAAAAGCGGCGGTTCGCGCAGTCGTGTGTAGTTTAGTCGTACAACAGGACGAGAGGGGGGAGGAAAGATGCGAGGTGGGCAGAGGAGAGAGGAAGGAGAAAGATGGATGCAGTCCGGAGGGCGAGGGAAGGGCGCAGGCAAAGAGAGGCGCGTGAGGGACGAGGAGCGAGCGTGGCTTACTCGTCGTCGCCGCCTTGGTCCTTCTTGTCCTTCTTGTCGCCGTCATCGCCGCCCTTGTCCTTCTTGTCCTCGCCGCCGCCGCTGCCGCTCTTGTCCTTGTTCTGCGCCTGCTTGTCCTCCTCGGCCTTCTTCTTGGCCTGCTCCTCTTTCTTCTTGCGCTCCTCCTCCTCCTTCTCCTTGCGCTCCCTATACGGCGGGGCGGGGCAAACAACACGTGGGTACACAGACGGTCAGCGATTCAAGTCTGCGACGACCGCAACGGCGACCGATACTGGGGCAGCGCTGGGCTGGCCGCGCGCCGTCCGTCGTGCGTGACTCACTCCTCCTGCCTCTTTGGGTTGCCGATTTTGACGTAGCTGTCACCCTCTGCGCCGGCGCTGGTGGCCTCGACGTCGCCCCCGACCTCCTGGTGCTTGATGATGCCGCCCTTGTTGCCCTTGGCGCTGCGCTGGAGCAGCTTCATCTTGGTGGGGCCGTCGGCCTGCACCTCCTCCTGCAGCTTGCCCGCCGTGGCCGCCATGGTGCTGCGGCTGCCGGGCGCGTAGTAGTTGGTGCCAGCCAGCGTGGCAATGATGCTGGAGCCCACAGCAAGCGTCAGCCAGAAGCGGTAGGTCGAGTACCACTTGGGCACCCAGCCGTCGTTTGTGGCGCGCAGGTCGACAAACCACATGGCGACAAACGAGGCCCACTGCGCAATCAGCGCCATCTGCGGCGCCAGGAGCAGCGTGGGCCACGCCAGCACGACGGGCAGCACGCCCACGGCGTACCGCCGGTTGCCCAGCTCGCCGCCGTACTTGCTGAATTCGAAGCCCCAGTGGACGGCGCCCAGGAAGCTGAGCAGCACGGCGCCAAAGCCGACCTGGATGTTTTGGGCGTGGAGGAGGAGCGCGCTGGCCGTCTCGCTGTCCATGGTCTTGTCGTAGCCGAGGTTGACGAGGTGCTCCTGGCGCGCCAGCCAGATGGACGCGCCGGCCGTTGTGACATAGGGGATGGCGCCCGCACCGCCCCACAGGAGCGCCGGCCGGGGTACGGCCTGGGCCATTTCGCCCGTGATGGACTTGGCATCCTTGAGGATCTCTGCGGCGCCGGACCTGGACGTCTCTCCAGCGTCCTGCTTGGAGGCGGCCTGGTCTCCTCCGGCGCCGGTGCCGCTGGCGCCGGCGATGGAGCTCTCGATGCTCGACTTGACCGATTTGACCTCCTCCTTGATGTTTTGCTTGGTGTGCTGCCACGAGTCCGAGGCGGGCTTGCTCGACTGCGGGTTGGCGGCCAGGCGCGACACCGATGAGTGGAAGGGGCGTGCGGCGGCGGGCGAGAACCTCTGGATGGGCGCTCGTCGTGCGGCTGCGGCGACGAGGAAGCGGCCGGCACCAGCTCCGCCGGTGCGAGAGAGGATGAGGTTGGCCGCCGGAGATCCGAGCATGGTCGAGGAGCGCAGGCGGGATGCAGGGGAAGGACGGGGTACCGCTGAGGGAGAAGGAGAGGTGCCGGTTGGCTGTCGATGGAGCGGATGGGCGCGCGAGCGAGCTGGTCGGGTCGGGTCGGGTCGAAGTTGCGGGTTATTAGAGCAAGAAGCCTTGTGAGAGGGTTGGATGGTGGATGATGGGAGGAAAGGGAGAGACTGGATGGCGACGAGACAAGAAAAGGCTGGAGAGCCAGGGCGACGGCGACGGCGACGGCGTCGGCGACGGCGTCGGCAACGAGGCAGGTGTCTTGTGAGCACGCAGACTGGCCTGACCGGCAGGCAGGCAAGCCAAGGCCAGATCGAGCGACGATGTGCGGCAGGTCCAGCCAAGCCAGCAGGTTCAGCCACCTCTCTCTGCAGCATGGCCCGGGCGGGGGCGAGGGCGAGGGCGAGGGCGAGGGCGAGGGCGAGAATCGCACGGCGACGATGGCGAGGGACGTCACCTCACAGGCGTCGACGAGGTGGCCGGCCAGACAGCCAGGCAGCCCGACTTGCGGGGCGGGGCGGATGGAAGCCGAGGCAGGCGGAAGCAGAGCAGGCCGCCAAGCCACCGCCAACCAAGGCAGGTGGAGGCTGGCAAGAGGCAGCGTGCAACTCTGCGTCATCTGCGCCCACCCACGGCCGACGCACGGTGGCTAACGCCGCTCGCGGGCCAGCTGCCGCCGCTTAGCTTGATGGACCCTCCATCTGCCCGTCGGCCCGCCCCGCCGCCGCTTTTCCGACAAGCCGGCGCAGCAGACGCAAAGCAAGGCAAAGGCAAGCACCGCAGACGGCGGCGGCGACGGGGCGCGCTGCGACGGCAATCGACGTTTGCCAGCTGGCCCTGGCCCTCGTCGCTCTTCCGATCCGATGGCAGCGCAGCAGCCACCTGCCGGCGACGACATACGCACGCCTCCTCGTCGCACATCGCGCCCAAAGGGCCAGGCCAGACCAGCCAGGCCACCTCGATGCTTCGCGACGATGCTCACGAGGTGATGCTTGGCCCAGTCGAGGAAGGCAGAACCAGGCCAGAGCAGCGACAGATCCACAAGCGTCGTTGTCGAACATGGCTACGGTCAGAACGCGGTGCAGCAGAGATATCGAGGCGGGCGCTGCGATGCGCTCGAGGTCGTGATGGAAGCAGCCAGGCCTGGGCAAAGCGAGCCAAGGCGCTCAGGAGGAGAGGCAGGCAGGCGGCAGGCTGAGCTCAAGTCGCGTGGCCTGGCCTTGGCCTCGAACCTCGGCTCCGAAAACGAGGTCCCCCTCAACAGAGGCAGGGGCTTCTCGCTCGGCATGCCTGCCACCAACTGCACGCACGGTCCAAGCCCGAGGCCACCCCTTGCTCGGCGTGCGCACCACCATCCCTCAGTACTGCCTCTCGAGCTCCGGTCCCATCCGCACACCTCCTCCCACGCTCCCTCTATCCCGCCCTCGCTCCTCTTCCCCCGCCGCCGACGACCCGACCATGACGGACCCGCTCGACCTCGCCCTCGACCTGATGCGGCGCATGCCGCCCTCGTCGTCCGAGTCCAACCTGGACCTCCTCGTCGGCCTCCTACCCAACTACGGCGAGGAGCTCGTCTCGTCCGTCGACCACCCGCTCCGCGTCAAGGTCGACGACAGCCAAGAGGGCGCCGGACGCGAGTACCTCTGCTGCGACTACAACCGAGATGCGGATAGTTACCGCAGCTGGATCTCCAACACCTTCCACCCGCCGCTCGACCTTGACCCGAGCCAGAGCATCGATGGCCAGCCTGGAAACTTGCCCAGCCCCGTCCTACGCCAGCTCGAGATCAAGGCAAACGAGGTGTTTGAGACGTATACCAAGCTGTGAGCGCCAGCGACGGGGGCGGACGCCGGTGTTTGGTCGACGAGCGCGTCATCACTTACCCAACTTCCCCCTCGACACTGCCCCTGCCCGTTCGGCCCCAGCTACTACGACTCGGCGCTCTCGAGCGTATACCTCTGGGACCTCGAGGCAGAGCCCAGCGTCTTTGCCGGGTCCAGCGTCGGCTCTCAGGCTCCCTCCACGTTTGCCGGCGTCATCCTGATCAAGAAGGGTGAGTGTCAGCGTCGTCCACCCCGTCGTCTTCGTCGGCGCACGCCCCCTAGCGCTGACCCGACCCTCGAGACCGCCCTTGCTCCCCTCTTCCTCGCGCACCCCCGCCAGCCATCGGCGATGCGGCGAGCGGCAACGGCACGTTTGGATCCTGGGACTCGCTCCACGTCTTTGAGGCCACCGAGCAGCCGGGCGCCGCGCCAAAGGGCGGGCTGGCGGGCGCAACGGGCGCAGCCAAAAAGGCCATCCCGAGCGCCAGCTACAAGCTCACCTCGACCGTCATGCTCAGCCTGGGCCGCAGGGAGGACGAAAAGCCCGGCGCCGAGTCGCACCACCAGTCGGGGCAGCCTTCGTCGTCGTCGACGACCAAGCTGGGCACCATGGAGATTGCCGGCAGCCTGACCCGGCAGGTGAGTGACGGCGACGGCTGTGGCGATGGCGATGGCGGTCCGGAGAGAGTTGGATTGGATTGGGCGAGACTGGAGAGCGGAGGATGCTGACCCTGCTCTGTTCTGCCCCTCCTCTTCCATCTCCCGCCACCTCGCTGCTCGACAGACCGAGGGAGACTACCCGCTGCCCGACTTTGTCTCGCACCTCGCCAACGTCGGCAAGCTGGTCGAGGACGTCGAGTCGAGGATCCGAAGCCAACTGCAGGTGAGCAGCCCGTATGCGCCGTCTCGACCGGTGCCACCCTTTCTGTGCTATGAACTGACACCCTCGTGCCCGCCATCGTCGTCGTCGCCGACAGGGAGTCTACTTTGGCAAGACGCGCGACGTCGTCTCGAACCTGCGCAGCACCCAGTCGCTCGAGCGCGAAAAGCACGCGCGCAACCTGCAAAAGGAGCTCATGGGCCTGTGGAAGCGGGCGCCTGCCCAGCCGACGTCGGACGAGTAGGGCCCCCCCATTCGGCCGTACCGAGGCTGCAGTGGTCGTCTGTCTGGACATCGAGATGCGATGCGGGCGGGCGAATAGAAGACGACGATGCCGTGTCGACTTGTCGTTGTGTGCGTGTGCATGTGCGTGTGCACGTGCGTGTGCATGCGTGCTGGTGACGAGGTGAGGGGCGAAGCGGGGGATGGAGTGGTATACAACGTGCGCGTGTGCGTCTGTGTGTGTGCGAGCAAGCGAGCGAGGGCTGGTCGTGTCGTGCGCTCGGCCATGCGCGGCGAGACCGGGGCATCAGGGAGCCTCGACGATCTCGACGCCCTCGTGATCCAGTCCTGCCTCTCCGTCTTCTTCGTCGTCGTCGTCTTCCTCTTCATCCGCGAGCTTAACGATGGGTTTCCCGATCTTGTCTGTGGTGGCGGTGAGGTGCAGCAGTGGAAGCGGAGAGACCAGATGGACGGAAGGGGGGTGGGTTGGAAGAGAGGAGAGACGGTGGGGAAGCGAGGGTCTGGGTCAGCATGTAGACCGGGAGGTGATGAGAGACGGGCCAGGGAGGGGAGCGATGAAGACGGGGAGGGAGAGGGGCTACGAACCAGCACCAACAGCGCGTACCGCGACCGCAAACACCTCATCATCCTCGATCTCGACCTTGTCCTTTGCGCCCTCGCTGCAGGGCTGGAAGACCTTTTCGCCATCATCGTTCTTGCCGAGTCGATACAGCGCCAGGTCGCTTTGCGGATCCACCTCGGTCCAGGACGACGGAAACTCCACCTCCGCCTCCGTGTTCGACTCGGATTCGACAGCGAGGGGGGCGAGGATGGCCGAGGGTGAAGGCGAGTTGGACGAGATCATGGCACCGTGGAAGGAGCGTAGGATCGAGCCCGTGCTCATCTGCGGCGGCGTGCTGGGTACGTTTAGGAATAGCGTCGTCCGACCCAGTTTGAGCAGGAGCGTCTTTGTGGATGCCTACAGACCGGACGGCGATGCAACGATGGTGGTGCGGCTTTCGTTAGTAGGTGCGTTGGGTTCATCGTGACACCGACGGAGAGGGAAGGGGGGGAGGTACGAACCATCTTGGGTTCCGGCCTTTTTGGTGTGCCGTCGTCGTTCCGGTGCTTGAGATGCCCGCGCGCGTGAGAGAGGGAGGGAGGAGGGAGGGGAATAGAGAACGGTAGGTCGAGAGGGTGGGTGGTGGTGGAAGAAAGTGAAGCAGCGAGCGAGCGAGCGAGCAGGAGACGGACGTGCATGCCCCACCTGGCGCCGCCCTTGGCAAAAAGTGGAGCAGGCTATGCCAGCCCTTCCCTGGGCTGCGCAGGCTCTCGGACCAGCCTCTGTACGCCTGCTGCTGCCCCGCCTCCGACTTCCGGAGCCTTTCCGCTCGCCTTAGCTTGGACCCCCTCGTCCCTCTCCATCCCATCCTCCAGGCAGGCCGGGTCGCACGCGCAGTCGCCAGACGTATTTGGCTCGTTGCATGCGTCGCTTCTCGTTCGTCGTCAGAATGCCTCTTTCATTGGACTCGGCGAGCCCGCCTCACCGCTGCTGCTGCTGCTGCTGCTGCTGGGCGGCCCGCTCGGAGCGAGGGACAAAGTACCGGTTCCTAAACTCGTCCGGATCGGCATCGGCGCGGTAGACGCCGCGTCCATCGGTGCGCGGCGCCCGCACGGCCGTCCTCCCAACCCCAGCCTCTCCACCTCCCTCTCTCTCGCCATCGCCATTGCCCTCCAGATCGCCCTCGTGGCCATCGACGTCTTCGCTAGGGGGCACCTTTTCCATCGTGATCAGCCGACGGCCCCACCGTCCAAAATCCTGCAGGCTGTGGTGCAGCAGCCTCATGCGTCCCTGGCCGCGCGCCCGCTTGTGTCGCGGCAGGTCGACCTTGACCTTTTCGCCGCCCCCCGAGCCGCACCGCTCCCGCTGCTGTCCACCCCCTCCCTCTCCCTCTCCCTCTCCCTCCCCTTCGCCGCCGTCGTCGTCGTCCTGGCCATCGTCGGCATCAATGACTACGGGCAGCCAGAAGACGAGGCGGCCGTGCGGCTTGAGCAGGTTGTAGGCGTACTCGAGCAGGTCGTCGATCAGGTCGACGAGGTGGTAGGGCCGCGTGGGCGGGATGTAGTCGGATCGCTCGTGCGACCAGCACCCCTTGCCCGGCCCGAGGCCGTCGGGCATCCAGAAGGCTTCGTCCCGCTGCTTTTCCGGGTCGCGCTTGCCCAGCCGCTTGGCTCCCGCCCTCACACCGTACGGAGGGTCGGCGACGATGCCGTCCAGGAACCCGCCCTCGCCCTGCACAGCGACACCAGCCGACGACGACGACGACGACGACGACGACGACGACGCCGGCTTGCCCTCGAAAAGCGACCGGCGGAAGGGCGCGCGCGACATGTCGCACACGAGGCAGTCGAGGATGCGGTCGCGCACGCCGTACTGCTGCGCCGACTTGATGATGCCGATACTGCCGGCGCGCGCCGGGTCGCTCTCCTTGAGCTTGGCGTTGGTCTTGCCGCGCATCGTCCGCCCGTCAATGTCGCTGCCCAGCGTCATGGCGCCAAACACGGCCGCCGCGTACAGCAGCGAGCCCGTGCCGGCGAACGGGTCGTAGACCATCCGGCCCGGCCCCGCCAGCGCCAGCGAGGCCATCAGCAGCGACATCTCCGACTCCATCGACGTGTTGCCAATGTAGACGCGCTTCTTGAGGTCGAGCTTGTCGATCAGGTCGCGCGCCAGGCCCGTCTGCCCCTCGAGGGCAGGGTCGTTGGACTTGCGGTACCTCGGCGGCTCGGCGGCGGCTCCGCTGCCGCTGGCGATGCCCATCCTGGACAGACTCGGGACCAGCGACTCGACTCGCAGGTCGATGCGTCGTCCAGCAAAG